TTCCTTTCCTCATCTTCGTTTCTACAAGATGAACAGTTAAGAATTGCAGCTGGCGGTAGATCTTTCATGTATAGATCGAAAGAAATCATACCCTGACAAATCAACACTACATTCGTTATTGAAATAAAATACTGCAAAAATAACAGCAATGAGACAACTTAGGCTCACCTCCAGCCAACGTGGATTGTGACTTGGTACTTTGGAGGACGTTTTACGAGTTAACGACGTCTTCCCGCAATACACAGTAAAGTCAACACTGATCTGAAGAAACTCACGTACACAAAATATCAAATACAATAGAAAACAAGAAAGAATAGAGTGGGTATGAAAGCTCTACCGACCTGCGAATCCATATCCGACGTCCCCATATTGCTGCAACTCAGCGGGCGCATCGAGAGATACTCGTCCACATCCCAGAGAGTGATGTAAGCTTCAGTGGAATCGCTTGCGCCTGCGATGCTTCCACTTCCACAAGGACTTACAGCGCCATCTCCGCTTGCCATTCGGCTCTCTTCAGCTCGTACATAGTTAGGCTGCAATGAGCACACCTCTGAGGCAGACGGCTTGGCTTTCACTCACTGTACAATCAAGGTGCTTATAGTGGTCTGTTTTCGAATGTATGGAACAGTATTAGAGGGCACTGCAAGAGCCAAGCAGGTTTTGCATGAGCGCGACGTCGACTAATCGACTGATTAGTATAAGCGTCGTCCGAGAGTGTGAAAGTACCGTAAAAGTACCAATTTGAGATCATCGGCCGACCTTCTGTGGGTCGGATCCAGATTAACATAGCTATGCGATTAACAGAATAACAAGCGCATTCAAGTGAATTCGCCAAGTGGAATGCGCCCATTAATTTGAAAAATCAACTGGAAACACAAGATATGGGTAAACAAGGTTCCCTCACGAAAATGACGTGCGCCTTTTTCGATGACCTCCATGTCCTCGTGCAGCCATTGATACTTATATAAAGCAAGAATCGCCGTCAGTGACAAAAACATGATCCATTGAGAATTCGAGGCTTCCGATAGCTTTGCACAATTGTTTCATCAAAGAGCGAAATTGGACAAGAAACCCGTCACAGTGATTAAATCAAACTGAGATTGGTAAGAGATAAGAGCTGAAGTTCTACATATAGCTAAGGAGCTTATAAATCTCCTATGGGGCAAAGGCATTCATATTCAAGCGCCATGGGGACATTCGATAAAAACCACCTGTATCAGCATTCGAATCGAGTGGAAATGGAAAGAGGGGCGCATTGGCAACTTAAAAACTGTAGTGGAAATTGACCCGCGGCTGACCTATGCAGTGGTTGGCAGATGCTAGAAGATAAACAATTCTGTGTTCAGTCCTCCCAGATAAGTCTGGAAAGTATTGTTTAATTTCGGAGAGATGGAGAACTCAGTTGGTCTGGACGAGCATCGATACGGAACCTGTACGTGGTGTGGCGCGACTCCCTACTAGAACCTTCACCCTCCAAGACAAGAATGTACGAGAAATTGAAAATAAGAGTCATGAAAATAAAACAACCTCGGGGGCTTAACCCCGTCTTCCATGAACACATTGACACAACGCAAGTTTGCACTTTGGCCGCGTGGACCGGGGCGATTTTGTGGGCACGGCCGCCTTAGGTCGTTCAAGCAAATTTTCAGTGATAAAAACATAAATAATGATTAATACAAGGCCAGATCAGTATATTGTAATGAGCACAATCTACCGGAGGATACAGTAGCGGAATTTCTATTGAAAGACATGGAATAACAATGAAAAAGTGATATTCTTTAGAACAAGCTGCAATGAACTTCAAAGGCAATTTTAAGTTGATTATTTCAATAAAAACACATATATTGTCATCCCTAAGGTACCGTATCTACTTCTACTACTATTTAAACCCTCACACTCATAAAAAGAAAAAGTAAACGAAAAGTTTATTAAAGTGAAGATTTCGTATGGACAGAAATCCTCCTCCAAATTGAAGCATACGTGACCATTCTATGGACCACTATGTTTTTAGCTAGGTCAAGGTCTCCTCCATTCAATAATTACAAGAAACTTCTAGAAGAACCAGGCGTGCGCGAAAAAAATTAGTGTAATGGGTGCGGGGGATATATCCCCCGCACGGTCCGACACGGCCTGCAATGCGCGGGATATATATCCCCCGCGTTGTCGTCAATGTGTTAATAAAATCTAACCGTGAAACCGTCTCGCTCCGGGTAATCAAGCAAAACTATCTCCTTTCTTCGCAAAACAAACCGCGGATTACGGTAGTTTTCGAATGCGGACCGTACTTCCTTAAAATGGATACTTCCAGGTGAAATAACCATAATAAACTATAAAAAGCTGAAAAAATATAAAAAGAGTATATCAGCACGATACACGTAATAAGAAATCTTTCCATTAACCTCATATATTATTAACAACTTGTCGTTTGCCGTTAGGTAACTCTTCTGACCAACAAGCTGCAGTAGGTAATCGGTATCCACTTCGTCTGCCTGGAAAACATACAGTAGAAAGAATAATTAAACAATATTTTTCAGACTCCCCGAGGAATGCCATAGTTAATACAGTGACGTCAATCAGTTAGGTTATGCAGCACGTGAGGACTGACGAGAGCCCCCCGCGCAGCCGCACCAGTGCATAAGTGGGTACCAATGGGGAAAAGCCAAACCTCCCTGGTGCGGTAGAGCCTACCACATACCCCAGGTCCGCCAGTGTGCACGTATAAGGTTTGCCTGGAGCAGAAAAAATGAATCGTAATTGCTGAGGCCGCCAATCATTGTAGTGGGCGCAATCGTAACTACTACGATTTCGACTAGAATCGAATGTGTACTACCTCAAAAGCGCGTCTCAATAATCCAGCTATGCGGCAAAATTCATACTTATCAACAAGAAGCAAATTGTACCTGTAAAATGAACCAGATCGCTTACCATCCGTACTACTTTTGCAACCAACACAGAATGTTCGGATCATATCAGGAACAAAATCCACGACTGCTTTTGCGGCGCCATGATCAATATTCTCCTTTTCATCCTCCAAAGTTCGGAAGAATACTTGATAGTTTAAATTCGCAGCTGAAAGCTGGCAGTAAAAGACCTAACTGCAACCAATGCCGACAAATGTATAACTGAATAAAAGCAAGAAAAAAAAACAATAGCTCCAAACAAAGAAAAGAACGAGAAAAGTGAGTTCAACTGGAGAGTCAAATTCTATCCTAACCATAAGTCAGCCGAGAAATAGAAAACAGATCGATACAGGAGAAAAATTAAAAAGCTTATCGGAAACCAATGTTACAAAATTGTAAAAAAAAAATTCAGAAAATCAAGCAAGAAGCGGAAAACAAACATTTAATCTTAGCAATCAGTGAGTGAGGGCACGGTTGTGCCACTTTCAGCACCACCGCTTCAGGAAAAGCATAATGTTCGTAGCCTTCGCTCCCTGAAAGAAACTAAATTGGGAACTCAACGGGAAATAGCTGTCCCAGTACAGAGAATTTCAATAAAAACCTCGGCTATTCACGGCCTCAACAGTGTCTTTGAAAAGCGCAGCACGGCAGGTTTTTAATTCATCCGATAACCCTGTTTCGAGTTCGTCCAATGAATATCCAAGAGCTTGACCTAAAAATGTCGAAATTATGGTGAACTTTTGTCAGAATCCATACGCAGCTGGTTATTCGGTAACCCTATGCAGTTATGGTCAAACGAGGTGGTTTGACCGCGTTCATCGCGCTTTGGGAGATTCGGCAAATCCCCTCAAAAGAAAGCATGCGCGCCGATATCGAGAAAAGACATTTCGATGAATCTCTTCATCGAGAGGCATTCAATTGTTTTCACCCGATCACCAGAAGCCGAAACCCCTTATTACCCACCAAATCTCTCAAAACCTTTTATTGGAACATGGGCTTCTCGCTCAGCAATGATGAGCACCAGATATACCGTAGCGCATCAGCATATTTCCAAAATAGGTCGACAGAGACGTGCACGAGAGGGTGATGAGATCTGCGACTCACCTATGACATTCGCCAAATCTCGTTCATGTCGGAAGCTCTCCGGTTCAAAAAGCGACAGCATAGGATATGGTCTCGTGAAATCAATCTTAGACAGCAACATCTAAACTCAGGTAAATGCAATAAGAAATGTGTTGGCAAAAACAACAAAAAACCCAACGAAACATCAAAGAGAAAAAGAAAG